CCGAGAAATATCTCAAAAAGGAATTTTTCTGTGCTTTTGTCCTTTCCTTGTTGGATAAAATAAAATACGGTGGCGACTCTTGCTTACCGCGACATTTTGCGAAAACAAACGCAAACGCGAACCAACATTCCAAAAACAGTCAGTTCTCATTCCCGCCGATCACAGTTTATTACTAAGACGTCCTAACATTGCTTTAGTGATCGTACCTCCCCTTTCGAATTGACCCTTAAAACTCCAACGACGGTGCTACCTACTCACTAATAGTGGGATAACATTGTCTAAAGGAAACAAACATAGAACAATTCTTTTTTCGAGTAGGTAGATGCTAGTAGGTACTTGCTCAAAACAAACAAACCTTTTTTTCACACTTACACTCCTTTCAAAACAAAGTTTTCAAAACGACTTCGTAACACTCTTGAAGACAGAAGCAAGAGTTAAATCGAAGTAAAACAAAAACTTTTCAAATCACAAAAACACATAAGCAATTTTAAAATGATGAGCAAGTACCTAAGAGCCCGTAGATAACTACGGATAGAAAGGGTGCTAATACCTTCCCTTTCTATAATCTACCCCCCGTACTCAAAATCTCGAAAAAGGAATTTTTCTGTGCTTTTTTCCTTTCCTTGTTGGATAAAATAAAAGTCGGTGGCGACTCTTGCTTACCGCGACATTTTGCAAACACAAACGCAAAATACAAATCAGCATTTTCCTAAAACAGTTCCTGTTCTGCCACCATATCACACTTGCTTTCATTATTTGATTTGTTTGCTTTACATTTATGGGTCCTTGTTTGAGTTTGTATTGATCCTCTACCTGGATCGGGTAACACCATTAGGTAAATAGAAAAGATTGTGGAGATTGTACGGCATCGACCGATTTGGTTGAGACAATAGCTATGTTATTGTGACATATTTATGGGTACAGGTATCCCTTATGGCGAATTAAGGAGAATATAGGGCCGCTGAGTGATGTCATGAAGCACTAACGAACCTTAGAACCTTTAATTAAACAACTTGGCCATTGGGAAGTAGTGAGATAGTCGGCTTTGGTGTAGAGTAGAATACTAGTTGATACTCGATGCTATGCTCATTGAGATCAGACTTTTGGGATATTTCGGCCACAAGAAAAGATTGATATGTGCTGAGACAATGCCCATTGAAGAAAGATCAATGATATTGAGATTCCCTAGAACCCGGTTACTTTCTAGGACAGGTTGAACCAACTAAACTTCAAGAGGGTATTTACCTATGAACTCTATGCAAGCCTAAACCTAAGGAATTGTGTGCTTTGTTTTTGTATATTTATTTGCATATAACATCATGACATCATATCATAGCATTTTCAATAACCATTTCAAGGGTCTCAGGGGTTTGTGATGCAGGGTTATATTGAACCAGACGTCCATCAAGGGGAAAGAGGATTTATTTTCCTCTAACCAAACGTCTTCAAAGACCAAAGCATGATAACTTGAGTCAAGGACTATGACCCACTTGACATGGTGAGCTTGATTCTCGTGGAAGGACCTCCAACGATACGAAGTTCTTCAATCAAAGTTGTGATCAAAGTTAAACTTCTGACATCTTCTTGTGTTTACCCCGCGAGATCCTTGAAAACATTACACCTACATATCATGCATCATATCATGACAGGTTTTCCCCATACAGGTTTTCTCATCTGCTTGTTGTTTATTTTAGTAAAAAATGGCTCTCGGACAAACTGTCCAAGATCTTTAGACCCAAAATGATCAATTTCAAGATTTGTTCCTGAATCTATCCAATGGGAAAGAAGAAGTGAAAGGACTCCTCATTGAGAGCATGACCGAGAAGAATTTGGAAGACGACAAGGATGGCCAGTTGAAGTAATTACAAGCAGAGGTAGCAACAATGAGAATTCAAATGTTGGGACAGATAACTCTTATCCAAAACTTAGCACGAGGACAAGAAGAACTTAGAGCCCTTGTTAACAAGATTCTTCAAGATGGATGCAACCATATGGAGAAAATAACTAGAATGGGGGATCCAGTCGTTAATCATCCTCAGTTGAAACAAGAAGATTTGGTCGAGAGAACACCCTTCAAATTGGCTACTACATCGCGAGTCCAACAACAACCTCACCAACCACGACAGGGTGTCCCGCATAAGCAAGATACACCCAAAAGACAATTTACCAAGATCAACATGTCTCTGGCCCAAGCATTGCGTCATATATTGGAGGCCAAGCTGGTTACATTGAGGGAGCCTCCTCAAAAACCTAATACTTTTTCTCACCACTACAAACATGATGAAAGATGTGTGTACCATTCCAACAGTCATGGGTACGACACTGACCTTTGTTGGGCATTGAAGAATAAAATTCAAGACCTGATCGACAAAGGAGTGTTGGAATTTACACAAGATGGTCAACTGGAGTTTTTCTATCACCCCTCAAAGACACACTATCTGAAGTGACAAAGTTTAGGCGGAGAAATTTTTGTTCATTCGATTTTTCAGTTGTAATTTCTTTGTTTGTTTAAAAATTTATCCTTATGTCAAACTTTGTTTGTTCTCATTAATGCATTGCATATGTTTGTCTTGAGTTAATCCATTAGTTTTCACTATACTTAAATTATACTTTCACTCCTTTTTGTATGATATTCAACTCTGGATTACAAGCTATGAGCCTTTAGAGGGAGGATGACGAAAATAATACCATAATCTCATACAATATGCTTTTGGATAGACTTTGCTGACGATGTACAGGCGTTGTTTCAAATCCCAAAATAGTGGAGTTATAAGGAAGATAATCCCTAGTCAACCCCTTTTAGCCAAAGAAGTAGGAGTTTTCTTTCCACACAAATTAAAACCTCTAATCATAACCTGGGGCAGGGTAGTTTCTCAGTTAATTCAAATATGCATCCATTCGCAAAATTTCACTTTATACACAGCAAATAGTACCAAAGATATCCTTCCAAAGCAAAAGACGGTGATGGGTCCCCATAAGATAGGCAGTCATTATCTCTCAAAAGAAAAGCCCGCTAAGTCAAAACCTATGAAGGAGACTCGAGAAAAAACTGGGGCACCCCGCTGGCTGTAATCTCAAAACAAGAGCAGTCAGGAAAAAATTAGGGATAATAAATCAAAAAGAGGTCACTACAAATCCTCGACAACATGAAAATTTTTGCAAAAATAACTGCCTTCTGTTGTACCCCATTTTTTCCGCTAAGATCCCTCATCATACTTTGTACATTTCGCAGATAGCATTGGTCTCGTGGTTATAAGATCGAAGAGATTTGGAATTAGGGCTTCTCTCTCTGAATTGAGGTTTCCTCAAGATACAATTTTTTCTTAATCAGAGTTCTTTCAAGGAACCAAGGCATTAGAATTTAACTTAGCCATAGAATCACGATTTATCTTCATGTTACTTGAGCATGGTAGTGATTCTTCTATGGAGGTTTATTGCATTAATGTCTCACTTCAAGGCCATATTTAGCACTACTCTTCCCTTGTGATTCTATTTGTTACCTGGTTAAGGATTGATTGAAGATTTCATCAAGATGATTCTTGGTGCTTAAGATGTGAATTAAGGTAGGATTACTTCCTAAATTTTGATTAAATTGAAGATCCAGATTAAGGGTTTCGTTGGAGGTGATTTGAAGATTCGTTCAAGAAATTCCTTTAAGCCCAAATTAATTCAAGAAAATTCATATAATGGTTTGCGTGGAATTCAAAGATGGTGTCTCAAATATCATTCGAAGTCAAGGCGAATTCGTGTCCGTCTTATGAGGATCTCTTTAAAGAAGAATTACTTGAAATTTAAGACATTTCTCATTCATTCTGACTTTACTCAAATCCTTTTCAAGTGAATATTTTGGCGCAATTGGTCAAATGGATCTATGTTTCGAAGATGGAAGACTTGTTCAAGACTTAATTCAAACATCATACTGGTTGTTTTCAACTAAGGTTCTCATTGATCATGGATTAAGGGTTTGCTTCCTTATGCTTGGATTTATCAAATAAATCTTGGATTTGTTCTCAGCACTTGGGCTTGTCCATCATGTGAGGGGTGGCTTCATTGTTACTTATGATGCAAGACGTTCAACTGGACTTCTTTCAAAGGGCTCTAAATTTAGACAAAAAATTCTTGGAGCTCATGAAGTGAGACGTTCCTTCAGTGTGTTAGCACTTATCTTGGGGATTTAGGGTTTATTTCCCTATTCATGTGGTGGTCAAGAGGCTCGTTGGATAAAGGCTTATTCTCTAAGCATGAATCAGTGCAAATAGGTTTCTTTGAGGCTATCATGTGGCACACTTCAACATTAGGGCTTCATTTGGTGTTGTCATCCGTTGAAGTGTGGTTCACTTGATTATTTGGGCTACAAATCAGTACTTTGAACCTTATGCAAGAGTTTGATGAGACATGGTGGAATTAGAATATCACATCAAGGTTTAAAGGTTTTAACTAAAGTCCTTTTTAAAACTTTTTGGGCTTTTATCTTACCATCATATGGTTCTTACCCAAGCTTGCAAATTTGAAGTGGAAAACTGAATTTCAATTACATATCCGAGGGAAAGGAGTTTAAATAGCGTGTACTTATTTTCCCAAAAGGGAACAATGTCGACTATTAGTCCATGTATTTGGATGTTGCAGATTCAACTAGTTTGCCCTACGGTTGGAGTAGATATGCACATTTTAGCTTGATATTTGCTAATCAAATCCATACTAAGTACTCTGTGAGAAAAGACACGCAGCATCAGTTCAATGCACGAGAAAGTGATTGGGGTTTCACATTCTTCATGCCTCTCGGTGAATTGTATGATCCTAGTAGAGGGTATCTTATGAATGATACTTTTCTAATTGAAGCTGAGGTCATTGTCCGTAGGATTGTTGATTACTGGACTTACGATTCAAAAAAGGAGACGGGATATGTTGGGCTCAAGAACCAGGGAGCTACATGTTATATGAATTCTTTGCTCCAAACTTTGTATCATATTCCTTAAAATTTCTGAAAGGTTGTATATCATATGCCTACAACAGAGAATGATATGCCCTCTGAAAGCATCCCCTTGGCTCTGCAAGGTTTGTTTTACAAGCTCCAGTACAGTGACACCAGTGTCGCAACAAAAGAGCTAACAAAATCGTTTGGATGGGATACTTACGATCCGTTCTTGCAGCATGATGTTCAAAAATTAAATAGAGTTCTTTGTGAAAAACTTGAAGACAAAATGAAGGCAACTGTTGTTGAAGGAACTATACATAAATTGTTTGAAGGGCGCCACATGAACTATATCGAGTGCATCAATGTGTATGCTTCATTTTATGATCTTCAACTTGATGTCAAAGGTTGTCCCGATGTATATGCTTCATTTGACAAGTATGTTGAAGTTGAACGTCTTGAGGGGGACAACAAATACCATGCTGAATAAAATGGTTTGCAGGATGCTAAGAAAGGTGTTATGTTCATTGATTTTCCTCCAGTTTTGTAGCTTCAGCTGAAAAGATTTGAATATGACTTTATGCGGGATACCATGGTAAATATTAATGATCGTTATGAGTTTCCATTGCAACTTGATCTTGATTGAGACAACCAAAAATATTTATCACCTGATGCTGATAGGAATGTTCGCAATCTTTACACACTATATAGTGTTCTGGTTCACAGTGGTGGTGTGCACGGTGGACATTACTATGCTTTTATCAGACCCACTCTCTCTGATCAATGGTACAAATTCTATGATGAGAGGGTGACAAAAGAAGACCCTAAACTGGCATCGGAGGAGCAATATGGTGGTGAGGAAGAGTTACCACAGACAAATCCTGGATTCAATAACAGTCCTTTAAAATTCACCAACTATTCAAATGCTTATATGCTGGTGTATATACGTGAAGTTAACAAGGAAAAAGTTGTATGCAATATGGACGAGAAAGACATTGTTGAGCATTTAAGGGAGAGGTTAAAAAAAGAATCAGGAATCTAAAAGCAGAACCAGAGGCATGTAATGAGTGGAACTACATCAAATTTTGTCTCTGGCAGTTAACCGATTACGACAAAATCATTTTCATTGATGCCAATCTTCTTATACTCAGAAATATCGATTTCCTTTTTGAGATGCCTGAAATATCAAACCAAGAAAACAATTTAGTTTATAAAACAATCTACCGAATTCCAACATCCTAACAGAACTCTAACAGAATTTTAACTAACATAACTTCTAACTAATTCATAACCGCTTTTTATAACCAATTACTAACAGAATAGAGATCTCTAACAATCTTTTTTTAAGAGAAAACCATGTAACAGAAAAGAAGAAAACCATGTAAGAGAAAACCGCTTTTTATTATTTTTTTTACTTCAGTATTTTGTGTTTTTTTGTTATATAATAATAATCTGAAGTAATGATAAAACATACTGATTAAAGATAAACTTGGTGATATGATATTGGGTTGCTTTTGCGTTTCACCTTAAGCCCATATACTCACCATTTTTTTGTTTTTTAGTTTGAAAAAAAAATGGCCAATTGGACCTGGAATGATGAGCCTAGCGCCTGATTTTACTGCAACACCCCCTGAAATCAAATTTCCACCCCTCTGACTCTTTTCTAATTTCTTGTTTTTTTTACTTTTACTTTTCTTTTAGTTTAAATTTCTTCCAATTTTAATAATAAAAGTAGTAAAAAAATACATATAATAAAAGAAAAATAATAACAAAAAGAATAAATAAAATTTAGGACTTTCTTTTTTATAATAAAAAACTACAAAAATCAATAAAAAAATTTAGACTTTTTATTTGATCTTAGGAAATTAATTCATAATCTCTCGATAACTTGAAAATTGTGATTCACCTTTGTTTGTTGAGCTGAGTCTTATGTAGGTTCATTATTTGATATGCGGATGTGTTTTGGATTCCTATTGTGATTTATTTTCACATCGACGAAGTTGCGACACCTATTCCAAATATTCGAACTCTGACTGTTTGTTTGTTGAAGCCAGCTCGCGCGAAGTATCTCGGATTTCTTTACTTTGGTTGAACTTTTTGCGGACGTTATTGTTCGTTTGGTATTATACTGCTTCCGAGTTATATTTCCGCATTTATCTCTTTTCTAGATATCATGAGAAGTAGGAAATAAAGAGCGTGCACTCGAAGCCGCTGTTTAAAGACCTGTAGCAGGCATTTCGCACTTCATTTGTTGCACGTGTTGTGCTCGTGTTTGTTTACTTTCTTGTTGATCTATGAGTCACTCAATTTAGAAATTGATATCATGACTTCGCTCTCAGTGCATGCTCCCTATAGGATTTTATCGCTTTCCTTTATTTCTTGTTGATTGATGAGTCACTCAATTTAGAAATTGAGATCACGACTTCGCTCTCAGTGCATGTTCCCTATAGGATAGTTTGTTAGACTTTCTTTGGCATGCTAACTTAGATAGGATCCCTCATTGTATGATAACATTAGGATAGAGTTAGGTTAGTCTCCCTTAGATGTTTTCTTCCCGTTTTTTGCATAATTGCATTTAAAACTAAAACTTCTTTTTCTTGGCAAATGTATAAAGAATGCTAAGCATACAAAAATTCTTTTCATAGTAAAAAATACCAACCAATCCATTTCTTTTCGCCATTCGGCTTTTCTCTTCTAAGAGCATGTTAGCTCATTTCCACTACAGCTCATAAGTCTCCAAAGGTCGAGCAGCGGTGGAATGATTGAATGCAACATTGTTCATTAAAAAATACAAACAAACAAAATATATGAGCCGAACTACGGTAGCTCTGATTCCTCAAAAAGGATACGTAGGCATTGGGGTAGGGCCCAAGCGAGTACAACTTTATTTTCCCTACATTCTTTCCCCTTTCTTTGCATGCATTCTCTCTTAGTTTATAACCCTTAAGCATTAGATTAAACACACCATTTGATTAGAATAACGAGAGTGGATCCCGTAGAGTACTATGGGCGTGTGGGGTGCTAATACCTTCCCCTCACGTAATCGACTCCCTTACCCAATCTCTCGGTCGCAAGACCTTGATTTCCCCTTTAGGTTTTTCTTCGATGATTTTCCTTTCGCTTTCATATGGGATAAATAAATACTTGGTGGCGACTTCATTGATTTCACCGCTACAGAAAAATGGCGACTTCATTGGGGAGAGATGTCGACCAATTGCTGGTCCATCCCGTGATTCACTCCTAGCTCCCGCTTTTCTTTTCTTAGGGTGTTTGTCTTTATGATTTTATGGTTTATTCATCTATATATGTTTGAGCATATGTTTGCATTGCATCTTTGTTATTATTTGTTATATTGTTGTTGTGCTGGTTTCTCTGTTTCTTGATAGGTGGGATGTTACTATGAGGTAAAAGGCCCAATACCCAGGCCAAGTGGAAACTACAGGAACACTAGGAATAGAGTGGAACATGAACGGCTAGTTGACTTAGGTTTCACTATGCCGCCATGTCGTCTACGCTCATATGAGGTACAAATAAGGGGCTATCGTTTTCACGTAGGTGATATGGCGATAGTTTTTCAGGAGTACCCTCGATTCTGAGTTACCATTGACCTAATCATGACCTAGTCATTACCCGTGAGTGGGGAGGGAATGATCTATACAGGTACAAATGGTGACTATACATGTTCTGTTGGTGACTCTGATTATACTGATGACTTTGATCCTTGGTATTCTGATTTGGTCCGAACCTTTGATCTTATTACATATGACAGTGGTTTTGTTATCAGTTCAGCAAATATCCAGCATGCAGAAACTTCGATCTTATGATTATTGAACTTTCATCATGTCATATTTATTTTTTAAAAGAAACGCAAAAAGCAAAAAATATATAACTGCCTAACCTGCATTTGCATTTCATTTCCAGGATTATTCTGAGGTCTGTCATCAGCATCAAAGATGGATAACAACATGAAGACAAGTTCAGAGCCTCTTAGAAACATTGCTGCTTATCAGTTCCCATGCTTTGGTGGTCGATTGCGAGAGGTGAGAGCTCTTGTAAAGGTACCAAATGAAAAAGTTTTCAAAGGACAATAGGGAAACTTATTGCCGTTGGTGAATGATGATTTTGAAGAATGGGCCGTAAGAACACTTTTTCGGTTCTATGATCCGCAGCTACGCTGTTTTACTTTCCAGGACTATCAATTGGAACCAACTCTCGAAGAGTATGCACACATTATGGATGTCAAAGTGACCAATAGTATTCCTTTTGTTCGAGCATCAGAGACTCCATACTACATGGCGATCGCCAGAGGTCTTTATTTGACTCATGGTGAAGTTAAAAGTAATTGGATTAACAAAAGCGACACAAGCGGTCTCCCTCTGAATGACTTGATATCAAAGGCCAAGGGTTTTGCAAAGGACGTGAATTGGATCACGTTTAATGAACTGCTGGAAGCAATTATTTATGGTTTGGTCCTCTTTCCCTTATCCGAGAAGTTGGTGCATTTATCCGTATTATGTGTCTTCATGAATGGTAACCCGGTACCCACTCTACTTGCCGATACTTATTACACCATTCATTCCCGGCATGGGAATAAAGGGGAAGTCATGTGTTGCGCGATCGTGCTTTATAAATGGTTGATGATGCATGTGCCTACAAAAGGGAATTTTGTTCATATTGCCGATTCATCTTTATGGTCTCAGCGTATCATGGGACTCACCTCGTATGATATTGTTTGGCAAAGTGTGAGAGGTTTTAAAGAGATCATTATAGGGTGTGGATAATTCTCTAATGTCCCTGTGATACGGTGGGAGAACTGACTTGGGATTTTGCGTTTTGTGTTTGCAAATGTTTCGGTTTAGCAAGAGTCGTCACCGACTTTTTATTTTATCTTAAGGAAAGGTCAAAAAGCACAGGAAAGACCTTTGAGATGTTTTCTTGGGTTCGGGGAGTATATTATGAAAAGGGAAGGTGTTAGCACCCTTTTCATCCATGGTTATCCATGGGCTCTTAGTTACTTGTTTAGATCACTTGCTTTGCTTTTCCAATTGTTTGAAATGGTGCTTTGTGTGTGGTTTTGAAAGATGTTTTGAAAAGAGACCATCGTTGTGGCAACCTTTGTAATGATTCTTGTTTGAATGTATACAAAGGTGTTTTTGTCTTTTTGAAAAGATTTCAATGTTTGAAAGTTTGATTTGGGAAATTGTTTTGAAATTGTGTTGTGAAGTGTGTTTGAAAATAGCAAGGATGTTTTTGCAAGTTTTGATCAAGTAACTAAGAGCCATCTACCCTATTTTACTCAAAGATTTTTCCTATATGTTTTTAACCCTTTTGACAGTGTTATTTCACCATTGTATTTGGTGAACAACCTTGTGTTAGGATGTTAAACGGGATAGGCGCGGGTCACCGTATAGACCATGATAGCAATTGTGTTAAGTATTTTTGGCAAAATTTTGAGGGACTTGATCATTTTTGTTTAGGCAACCAAGATAGCGTCATCGAGGGACTATGATCTTTTGTTTTGTTTTTGTTTTGCCAAAGTACCTAACATGCATAACATGGCCTATTTTTAAGGTAACAAGTGGATTGCAACCCTATGGGTGCAAGTGTGTATTGTTTGATTTTCATGCATTTTTGTCTTTTGATTAGGTCAAGCTACTTGTTGATTTTGGATTTTTGCATACAAACCCTAATCTCTAATCATGGCATAATTGAAAGCATAAAGTGTGAGAATTAAAAAGTCTAAGCTATTACAGCATGATTATGGGGATGGGGGTACAATCTTTGAATGGGGGTGTATTTGACAAGAAATATAAACCATAATTTACTATTACATCCAAATTGAATAATGGCATAAATAATAAATGGACAATATTTAAATAAACAAAATAAATAAATATATTAAATAATATGAATTATGCAAAAAAAGTTTTTTGATTATTTATGTATGTAAAAATATTTAATGTAAAAAAAATAAAGAAATAAATAAAAAGATTAATTTTATTAGGTTAAGGGTAAAACCCTAATTTTCTTTAAGAAAATAAA